CAGATTAGCGGAAGAAAATGGATGGATGGATGGGTTTGTAGGATCAGAGCTAGAGCAGGGGTGGGGAACTCCAGGCCTGGAGGGCTGGTGTCCTGCAGGTTTTAGATGTGTCCTTGATCCAACACAGCTGATTTAAATGGCTAAATGACCTCCTCAACATGTCTTATGGCTCTCCAGGGAATGAACTCATCATTTGATTCAGGTGTGTTGACCCAGGGTGAGACACCTGGAGTTGCCCACCCCTGATCTAGAGTTGATTGACTTTACTGTGTGTTGTCTAATACGGTAGTGTCGACTCTGCTTCTGCTCAGACATACAAGCCTCATTTTGTCTTTCTTCCTCTTCAGGTTATAATGACAGTATTCAGGAGCGTAATGACTTGTGTATGGTGGGCGAATACACTACGCAGGACAATGAGCCGGTAAAGAAGGTTTGTCAGTTTAAACGAAGTACACTGCGTCAGTGTTCTGGTTTGCCTGACCCCAGCTTTGGGTTCAAGGAGGGGAAACCCTGCATCATAATCAAGCTGAACCGGGTCAGTGAAGCACTTGTTGATTTTAAAAAAGCCAAAAATGACTTGCGTGAATGTTAATTAAAAACCTGTCTGCAGGTAATCGGCCTGAAACCAGAAGGAGATCCCTACATCAACTGCACTGCCAAGGTAACCCACAATATGCAAATATCCCATGGTGCACCTGTGAAGCAGAGGAGAAACGTAAAAGGAGAATTCACCACATTTTTAGAAGTGCAAATTAGAAAGTTTCAGTAGTAAATGAAATTACTTTTTCGAACTATTAAATTGAAGAACTGTATATGTGCCTCACTCTCTCGTAGAGAGCCACTTCCTTGCAGATGCAGTACTTTCCGTCTGAGGGTCGTCTGGATAAGATGTTTTTTCCATACTACGGGAAGAAGTCTCACGTGAGTAAATATTGCATGCTGGGTACTTATTCAGAAGTATTTTTATGTAGCAAAAAAAAATCTGATTTATTTCTACTTTTCTATTTATGCAGGAAAATGTCAGAGCAACTTTAACGTTAACGGTTTTCCTCTCGCTTTGACAATACTTCTAGTTTTTAAAGCGTCAAAGTTTACTTAACATACAAGGAATGAATACAAGAATAGTATTTGATACAGGTTGCTAAGCTTTATTTAAATATTTAGCTTTAATTTTATTTGTATAGCACCAAATCACAACAACCATAAGGAGAGATCATTTGTAGGAACTGATGCTGCCATAGGTCTCAGCTGCTCAGGATTCCCATGATGCATCGAGTTTTTCTTCTTCAGTAACCTTGTGTTTATACATCACTCTGCATTTAATTTTGTTAATCTCTGTCTCTCTTCCACAGCATGTCTTTATCCTCTTTTCCTTCTCTCACCCCAACCAATC